CAGACATACATATTTTCAGAAATACTATAATGTAATATACACAAAAATAGTTGTAAATCACACACCAATACACACACACACACACACTTACCTTATATAATTATACAATTAGACATAATTTGATTATCTTAATTAATTTTTAAGCACTGCAAACATAACTTATAAATACATACACTCATGTAATATACACACATACACTCGCACACTCATACATACATACACATACACACATACATACATACATACATAAACATACGTGAATATTAGGGTATATATGTATGTATTTAATACACAAGTCAAGTGTTTATTTCCGCTCATTATAAAAACTATTTTGTGAAGTGTGTCATTCAAATGTGATGAGTTTAATTGTATGTACGAATTACATTCTTACTGCTACTACTTCAAATAATACTGCTGCTACTGTTTTTACTACTCATACTACTACTACTACTACTACTACTACTACTGGAGCTGCAACTACAGCTACCACTCCTACTACTACTAAATCTTATTTGACAATTACTACTACTACATCTAATGTTATTAATAATCTTACTACTCCTACTCCTACTACTATTTTTACTACTACTACTATTACTGCTGCTGCTGTTACTAATACTACTACTAGCATCATCATTATCATCTTCCTCTTCTGCATCGTCATCACCATCTTTCCATCATCGCCACAGACAACAATTAAGCTTTCCCACGCAGGCTTTACTCTTCGTTATTATAAGAACCTTACCTCCACACATTTTTTAAATTCATTCATTCATTCATTCATTCATTCATTCATTCATTCATTCATTCATTCATTCATTCATTCATTTTATTTATTTTTTATTATTTAATTAATTAATAATGACAATAGTACGGAAATAAGTATTCGTGTGAGGTCTGATCACATATATGTGTGAATGATAAATAAATCTAAATGCATGATGTATTGGTATGAATGAATACCGAAAAATTGTATTTATATGTGTGTATATCTGTGTGTGTGTGTTTAATTGTGTGCGTGCGTGTACGTGCGTGCGTGTGTGTGTGTGTGTGTGTGTGTGTGAATAACGTATATTGTATTGTAAATAAATTTATAAGAAAATCTACAATATAATGTTTTTAATGTCTACAACACGTAGGTATGTGTGTATATGTGTGCGTGTATCTGTATATGTATATGTGTGTGGTGTGTGTGTGGTGTGTGCGCGTATGTAGATGTGTGTGTGTGAATTTTTGTGTGTGAATTTTCTTATCTTTTATAAGAATGTCATTAGTTAACATTATCGCGGTACTTGTTACTTTTTGTTTCATCGTTGATGTCTCCAATGCTGTATTAATCCAGTGTTACTCAAATGTTACTACAATTAAAACACAACGAAGAGTCATAATAAATCTTTATCGACCAATCAATCAAATAGATTATTTTGTTCAATTTTCTCACGGCTAATTTGCAGCCATCGTTCGTCATTATTTGATTAGAATTAGAATTGTGTTAAAAAGAGTAAGAGAGAGAGAGAGAGAGAGAGAGAGAGAGAGAGAGAGAGAGAGAAAGATAGACATTTATAAGTATGTGTCGATGTTTGTATGTGTGCATGTGCGTGCGTGTGTGTGTGAGTGAGTGAGAGAAAGATAGTGTATGTATTGGTATGAGTGTATTCTTATGAGTTAGATTTTTTTCTGTGTTAAATTTTTTACTCTTAATAATTGTGTGTGTCAATCTATGTGTGTTTGTGTGAGTGATTGCGTCTGTTTGTTTGTGTCTGTAGTTATAAAAACAATTGAATATAATTATATTATATACGTATATATGTGAACATGTGTATCAATCAAAATGAATGAAAATTAATTTAGAAATTAATTTTAAATAAGTAGAACAATGACAAATCCGACTAACTTATCGACGCGTGCTGGGTTAGAGGCACACAGGGAGCTAGCTGTGTGTTTCGTTTAATCTTAGTATGATGTTTGTGCGTTCGGTGGCACGAGTTTTTGTATCAAATACATTTTTGTATGTTTGTTTGTATGTTGTGTATATGTGCGTGTATGTATGTATGTATGAATGTGCGTGTTGTGTGTGTTGTATGTGTGTTAAATTTTTTCCAAGTATTTATCGTTCCTTGGGGTGTATACTTTTGTATTCCTGTTTTGCATTGGTGTTGTTGGTATGTTTCTGGAATGATTTGGTTGTTTGTGTGTGTGCGTGTGTGTGCGTGTCTGTGACGTGTGTGCGTGCGTGAGTGTATGTGAGTGTGTTTTCTGTGTTTGAGTTTGGAATCAATGGCGCATGACGAACGGTTTAATGTTTGAATAATTATTTTGGAGAAGTATTTATTTTGTTATTCATATTGTTTGTTCATTTGTTCACTCAATCGTTCGTTCGTTCGTTCATTCATTCATTCATTTATTCATTCATTCCATCATTCATTAACTTTGCTATCTATCTATCATTAACTTTGCATTAACTTTGCTTAACTAATCAACAATATCTAATGACATAAAAATCTTCAAACAACATTTTAGTGGTTTATTAGAATAAAAAAATTTTGATGTTTAAACAATTACATAACAACAAAAATTTATCATCTTCCTCTTCTTCATCATCATCAACAACAACAACAACAACAATTTGACATACAATGCATCGTAAGAACTGAACGAAAAGACATAAATAACATTTTATACAGATAGCACCAGTATTAAAATGTCTCAAAAATACCATTTAAATAACTGGTACTATATATTTTATACAATTATATATAATTATACATACATACATTCATACATACATACATACATACATACATACATACATACATACATACATACATACATACATACATACATACATACATACATACATACATACATACATACTTACATACAAACATACATACACACACACATACATACATACAAATAAACAAACAAACGTTTATGCCAATCTCATAAAGTTTTTAATGGCTCACTTCAGAAAATGTGTTTACATTATAATTATTAACAATTAAACATAAGCAGACTTTACATGCATTTAGGTATTGTTTTAATTATGTATTTGGAATGAATGTTTATAAATGAATGAATGAATGAATGAATGAATGAATGAATGAACGAACGAACGAACGAACGAACGAACGAACGAACGAACGAACGAATGAATGAATGAATGAATGAACAATTTGATAATTACCCGAATGTATATATTTACCCTTGAAATGTATGAATGAATGAACGTATGAATGAATGAATACCAGAAACGAATGAAAGAACGAAAAAATGAATGTATGTATGAATGAATGAATGAATAAAAGAAGATGTAAACAAACTAAGAACTGATTGAATGAACGAGCGAATAAAAGAATGAAGGCATTGATTGCTCGTATCATTGTTGTGCTGTTTGTTATATTGAAGCATTTCAAATTCTTTCTCTAAAACTGTTAATGGGATGATGACGACGACGACGACGATGATGATAATGATGATGATAGGTGATTATGAAAATGGTGTTTGATGATTATAATGATGATGGTGCTGATGATTTTTAATTAGTTTTTTTTATTATCATCAATGTTTTAAAAACCATTATCACATCTTCATCATCATCGTCATCATCATCGTCGTCGTCGTCGTCATCATCACCGTCATTATCAGCATCTTCCAGCACAATGCAGTTTCTCACCATATTTCATATTTTTGTTTCAAGCTTAAAAAGTCAAAAGCACATTTTAAAAAGTTTAAGTTTGTATGACTGTGCCGTATATGTATTTATATGTGTGTGTATATATATATGTCTGTGTATGTATATGCGTATTTGTATGTATGTGTGTGTTTGTGTGTGTATATCTGTATGTATGTGTATGTTTGTGTATGTATATCTGTATGTGTGTCTGTATGTAGGTGTGTGTGTGTTTGCCGTGGAGAAAATGACAAAAGAGTGTTAATTTGTAAAACTAATAAGTGATGATGTGTGACGTTTTAAAATTTTTCAACTGTCATTGTTGTTGTCATGTTACTGAGATGTTTACGGACTTGCTGACGATGATGACGATGATGACGATGATGATGATGATGATGATGATGATGAAGAAGAAGATGTTGGTGATAATGATGGTGAAGAAGATGACGATGGTGTTAATTTTTTGCGGTGATGATGGCCACTACCAATACCACCAACAACTCAATCAACAGATGTCTAAAAAACTTTTACGGGGACCTCTGCCAATACAGACCGTGTGACCAAAAAGTTTGCCAGAATGAAGGCCAGTGTTACGAGTACAATGACCTTGCCAGGGGTGAATATGTCCCTCTGTGCAATTGTCCACAAGGTCGGTTTCATTTTTAGTAGTAGTAGTAGTAAAAGTAATTGTAGTAGTAGTAGTAGTAGTAGTAGTAGTAGTAGTAGTAGTAGTAGTAGTAGTAGTAGTAGTAGTAGTAGTAGTAGTCGTAGTAGTAGTCTTTTAGATTATCGTTGTATATAAAATCTTTATAATTTTTAATTATTCAATCTGCCATATAAATTCATTTAATCGAAACCAATCGAACATTCATTCAGCTGACCAACTAATCACCCATACACCAATCAACGAACGACCAACCAGTCAACCACCCACACAATCAACCGACCAATCAACGAACGACCAACAAGTCAACCACCCACACAATCGACCGACCAATCAATGAACGACCTACCAGTCAACCACACAATCAACCGACCAATCAGGTTTCTACGGAGACGAGTGCCAGCACAAAGACACCTACAGTCTGTGCCAGGAAGGGAAGTGTCGGAACGGAGGAACCTGCCAACTCATCTACAACTTCCCCATGTTCAAGTGCAACTGTTTGCCTGGGTTTACCGGTCAGTGAGTGAATGAGCGAGACGATGAAGAAACGAATGGATGAACGAATGAATGAATGAATTAATTAATTAATTAACTAGTTAATGAATACACGAATGAATGAATGAATGAATGAATGAATGAATGAACGAATGAACGAATGAACGAATGAATGCAAATGCAACAGGCGAGATATGTGAGGAAAATATAGATGATTGTATTAACAACAAATGCATGTCCAACTCAACGTGCGTCGACCAAGCGGATGGCTATCGTTGCAGATGCCTGCCGGGAAGTGGATACACTGGTCGGTAGTTTATTGCTTGTATTATTTATTCGGTTTCTTTACGTATTTGTTTGTGGCTTGATGATTTTGTTTGAAAGTAAAATGTTTGAAAGTTGTTTCGTATGTTCGTATAAACTTATTTTATCTTTTATTTGTACTTCACTCGCTTTAATTATTTACCTGCAGTGTTTTATTCTGTCAAACTTGATATTATTCAATATTCATTCAATTTTCATTCGAATTTCATCACTTTGTTTTGTAACATTCGTCATATTTTCATCAAATTCCTCAAAATTGTTCTTCGTCAGTTTCTGTTTTCATTGCAATTTTTCATTGTTAGAACCAAAAGACCATTCTTTTTATATTCTCTATTTACTCCGATATATGTTTCTTTGTGTGTGTGCATCTGTCTGTCTGACTGTGCGTGTGTAAGTGTCAATGCCTGTGTTGCGGCACTAGTGCAACACATCTTCGCATTCAAACTCATTCAAACTGCTCCTTGTATTAAACGGTACAAAGTACAGAAATACGCAAATAATACACTTATAAGTACACAAACATACACTTTAGTACAAATTTTTTTTCCTTACAAACATGAATACATGTTTTTAAAACCTTATTTAGATTGCTATTGACTGAACTGAGTTAGGTTCTTGGGCTTCTTTTTAACAAGACCATTTTTTTTATACTTGTACAACTTTTAGATTGTTTGTTGTACATATTGAGATGATAAATTTTAACTTAATTCTGTTCAATTTTTTATAGTTCCTTCATTTCCTTCGCTTTCTTTTTTGTTTTCTTTCTCTCTCTCTACTTTTGAGTTTGTCTCTTTCTTTTTTTCTCTCTCCTTTTAACTTTTTCTCCCTCCTTTTTCCATTTTCCCCCATCTGTCTTTATTTTTTCCAATCTGTTGTTCCCGTTTTTATCTCTATATTTTTTTCAAAAAAGTTTTTTAATTTACGTATTTGTATCTGTATGTCCGTGTGCATGTGCATCTGTGTGTATGTCTATGTTTTGTATGAAACTTTGTATTAGTGGTGTGCATTTTGTATTTGTAGAATGTGCTGTCAGCAGTTTCGTGATGAATGGCTCGAGACTGATGATGGGTGGATGCTTGTGCCATAGACAACTTTCTCTATATACAGAATATGACTGTGTGTTACCATGTATGTTTGTGTGCGCGTGCGTGTGTGTATGTGTGCGTGTGTGAGAGCGAGAAAGAGAGAGAGGGAGTTGCATCAATGTGTGAGTGTATGTGTTGTTGTAAGTATTATTATATGTTTGTGTGCCAGTGTAACTATTTATATCTAAGTTGTATGTATATGTTTTTGAATATAGGTTTTTTTTTGTATCTCTGTATACATGCATGCATATAGGCACAAAGACAGAGAAACATACACATACACACACGTACACACACACACACAATTTCACACATCTTCAGGCAAATTTTGTGATGAAGACGTTGATGAATGTCTAAAGAGTCCGTGTCACAACCAAGGCACGTGCAACAATCAACCTGGCTCCTACACGTGTAGCTGCCTCAATGGATATTCCGGTTAGGAATTTTGTGATTATATTTTCAATTATATTTTCTCTTTATTAATTAATTATTCAATTAATTAATTAGTTTATTTAATTGTTCGTTCGTTCATTTGCTCGTTCGTTTATTCAGTCATTCATTCGTTTAATTTTTGAACGTTCAAGGTCGACACTGTGAAGTGGACGTTGATGATTGTGAATCCAATCCGTGCTTGAATGGAGGGACGTGTCGGGATAGCGTTGGGGGTTTCCATTGCGAGTGTCCGCCTCATAAATCCGGTTACTATCATTATCATCATCACTGTCATCATCATCTTCGTCGTCGTCTTCATCATAGTCATTTGTCGTCATCGTCATTGTCATCATAATTGTTTTTGTTGTTTCAATTTGATGTTTGATTACAAATTTGATTGATTCATTCATTCAATCATTCATTCATTTATTCGTTCATTTAGTTAATCATTCATTCATTTATTTATTTCTTCATGCATTTATGCCATCAGCTTTTAATTTATCCTATGTACATTTTGTGTGTGTGTGTCCTGTGTGTGTGTGTATGTGTGTTCGCGTGTGTGTGAAACAAGGCATTTCAGATTTACTTGTATGTTTTGTTTCTTCTATGTGCAAACATTTGCATGTGTTTGCGTGAACGTCTGCATATGTATAAGCGTGTATGTGTATGTGTGTGTGTGTGTATATTGTAAATGTTAAGTTGTTTGTAGGTATATATCAGTGTGTGTGTGTGTGTGTGTGTGTGTGTGTGTGTGTGTTATGTGTGTGTGTGAGAGAGTGTATGTGTGTGTGTGTGTCTGTGTGTATGTGAAAAAGAGAGAGAATGTAGCGTACATTAAACTTTTAAACATGATGCAGTCAAAATTATTCTGTGGGAAAATATCCACATAGGATAACAAATGCAAATATATGATGGATTCTTAGTAATGTTATTTGGTACCTTAACTAGTATATATGTGTGTGTATGTATGTGTGCGTGTGTATGTCTGTCTGTGTGTGTATGTGTGTGCAATAAGTTTTTCAAAACACATTTATAAAAATTTGCGCTTGACTGTTTGTATATACTGTCAAATTTTATTCCAAAGAAAGCATGGCTCGATTTTTTTTTCTATTGTAATGTTATTTAGATTTTAATACTTTATTTTTTGGTATTGTGAGTTTGATTGAATTTGTGTGTGTGTGTGTGTGTACGTGTGATTGTATTAGAGTGTGTGTGTGATTGTTGATTGTAGGGATGTATGTTTAAGCTTGATCTGTCTGTGTTCTTATTTAATCTCTCGTTCTTAATTTCTTTTCTTTTATGTTCAGCGTTGTTCATCCGTTTGCATTGTTCGCCAAATCGTTTGTTTGTTTGGTTTGTTTGTTTGTTTCTAAAATTCCATTAATTTCTTCTTGTTAGTGTGAATATTTTTTCCAATGAATAAGAATCTCAAAGTTGTTTCATGTTCTTAATTATTTGCATAAACTTAATCGCTCACTCGTCTGTTCTTCTATCTATCTATATTTTTGCTGATGCTGCCTAGTTTTGTGTTCATCAATTATTTGTTTCTTTAAATCTGTTGTCTTTCTTGCTTGTTTAATTTAATTGAATATTTACCTTCTACCAATCTAATCTCAAACGATCTTTTCTTTATTTAATTAATTTATTTGTTCTTTCATAAATTTTTCTACTCATTCATTCATTCATTCGTTCGTTCGTTCGTTCATCCGTTCATTCATTCATTCATTTGTCCATTCATTCATTCATCCAAAACTCCCAAACCCTGCCACAAAACCTCCAGGAGTTTTATGCCAGTACGACAACCCGTGCACTAGGACGATGAACATATGCAAACATGGGACCTGCGTTACAGACGCCGACACTGCAGGCTGGCTGTGTCGCTGCGACAGTGGCTACCAAGGAAAGGATTGCAGTGAAGATGTGGACGAGTGCATGATGAGTTCGTCATACTTTTTTTTCTTGTTTGCCTGATTGGTTTTTCATCGGTAGCATACAATCAATTATAAGTTTATTATTTGGTAATTTATTTATTTAAAAATCCACTTGTAAACATCTGCTGGTGAAGCGAAAGATAGAGTTATGTTAGATAACAACCAACCTAACAACAAACCACTAACAAATTAATCAACAACCAACCAACCACCAACCAAACTAATCAACAATCAGCTAATCAACCCACCACCATCAACCAACCAACCAACCACACAGAGCAAAACCCGTGTGACAACGATGGCAAATGCCAAAACGAATACGGTACATTCTCGTGCAAATGCAAGACCGGCTACACGGGGACCAGATGCGAGACGAACATCGACGAATGTCTACAAGTTCAGTGTCATAACGGGGGTGCCTGCCTCGATGGTATTGGTACCTTCAAGTGCGCTTGTACTTCTGGTTGGTTTTGGACTTTTTGTATTTTATATCATGTGTTCTGTGTTGGGTGTGTTTGGAGTTCTCTACTGTTCTACATTCATTTTGTATTGTCTTATGTAAAATACAGCGTCTTTGTTGGGTATTTTCACGATAAAATATCTGTGGTGTCATCTATCATTACGGGGTTTAAAATGTATAAACTGATTTTATACACATACTCAAACACAGAGCGCAAGCATGCTTGAAAGAAAATGCGCGAAAACACACAAACACATCTCATATACACCACACACACAGACACACACACACACACACACGTGACTACACACACGTGACTACACTTCATAATGTGACGCGTTCACCCTTTCAAAACAGCAACTGTAAAAACAAAGATAAACAAACAACATGATGATGAATAATGATTTGTGAGTAAAATATTTTAGCTCCTACCTCCTTAGTAGTAGATAATTATTGTAACGTTGTGATTGTATTAGTAACAGTAGTAGTAATAATACTACTACTTTTGTTAATGGTGTTAATGTGATTACAAATACGGCTAAAGTTGCTGCTACTGTTGTGGCTACTACTACTGCTACCGTTGCTCCTGCTGCTACTTCAACTACTACTACTTTCACAACAAAACGTTAGCATTTATGTCGTTTTTGGCCGATTTTGTGCTAGCATTAAGAAAAATAACGATAGGTAGTAAGCATGTAAGAATGTAAGTAACATGAGTAATAGTATGAATGATATACGAAGGATGAATGTAATCGTAATATAACACAATAGAATATGTGATGACGGTACTGCAATGTTACATCCATTTGCCACGGTTGTCAGTCTATTACGTATGCATACAATATGCCACACACACGCACACGCACACACGTACGCACGCACACACACGCAGTATTTTGTTGTTTACTTTTCAAACAAAATCCATTTCAATCACATTTGTTCTGTAATTTTTTTAAATAGAATAAAAATAATTGAAATAAAATTTTGAGCCAAAGCAGCAATGACACACGCCTGTGACGTGCCGGGCGTTTCTAGGTCGCGCCAAGGTTCAAAGGTCATAAACTGCCAATCAGTGGCACGGAAATTGGGTCATTAGTCAGCTGTTTGAACCTGTTGGTGGCTGATTAGTTGATGGCAATATCATTGCGGTGTATGCTGCTAATGATATTAATGGGTTTTTGTTGCTAGGGTAATTTATTGGCGATGATGGTTCTGTGTTCTGGCGGTTCTCGCTGTGACGTTCGCCACCAACATGCGTGTCCTCTTCACCATCTTCAACATCTCCATATCCACCTTCTTCATATTTCTTAAAAATTAAAACAACCATCTTTCAAGTCATTGTGACGAAATTTTCTCACCAACGTCCTATTCATTACTCCAATCATCTTCATCATTCATTAAAACGGACATGCAAATACATACACACACAGGCGCGCGCACACACACGAATAAACACACACACACATTCAACCAAAACACACGTACACACACACAAACACACACGCACATACATACCTAAACAAACTTAATTGAAAAACATACACAACCCACTAAAACAACACTTGTCTGCCTTGCCTCGACTACCGCATGTGCGTGTCTACTATCAACATATATTAAAATGTATGTACGTATATGTATGTGTGTGTGTTGGTGTGTGTATAAGTTCGCATACATATACACATGTGTTTGTGTCACTATCTGTCGAGTGATTGATGAAAAGGCATGTGTGTGTGTGTGTTTGTTTGTACGTGAAAAACACACATATACACACATACGCACATATACACACACAAACTTATTTACACACTCATACATGCACACGCACGTAAATATAAACAAAAGTTACGTAAAATTATGAGGAAAGAATCTGTTTTGTATTTTGGGTACTGTGTATTTCTTTCGAAAATTCAATAAGGTGTTCGCGTATTTATTGCTGTAAATACATTTTATGTATTATTATTATTATTGTTGTTATTGTTGTTGTTGTTGATATTGTTCGATGTTTTTGGTACAGAAACATTAATTTCAAGTTATTAAATTAAGTACACTGAATAACAAGAATAATACATTTGATCATTTACAAGCCTGTTGGATCGGTCTCCGTATCGCTGGTTTTTGTTTGTGTGTTGTTTGTTTGTGTGTGTGCGTGTGCGTATGTACGTGTGCGCGTGTGTTTGTGTGTAAGTATGCATACATATATGTGTGTATTTTTATGTTATATGTATGTTTTATGTTCACTAAAGTACGTTTCATAAACAAGGCACGATCGTTACTTCATATTCTCACAAACATGCACACACACATACACGCACACACATACACGCACATACCATACACACATATTCACGCACATGCCAGCACACACACACATACACAAACAAACGCTTATTTTTCCTTTAGCATAATAGACTTTGAGGACGGAATAAGGGAGTCTGTGACTTGCTATTTATTATTAACAATGATAATTACTGCAAGCATGTGATTGGCGTGTGATAGAAAGAGAGAGAAAGAGGAGAAAAGAGTGGAAAGAGAGAGAGAGAAAGAGAGAGAGAGAGAAAGAGAGAGAGAGAAATAAAGAGAGAAAAATATAAATGAGTGAGAAATGAAATGGGTGAGTTAATTATAACGCTATGTAACAGCCAATTATAAATCATTTATTAAAGTATTAAGAGCATTCAATCAGTCAGAGAGATTGTGATTGGTTGGCAATTACACTGACGTCACGAGCACGTGACACACATTTAATTAGGTCATCCAATAGGATGCGAGGTTAACGAGAACCCTGCTCCGTTATTAAGTGGTGATGATCGATATCAAGTCCACGATGACGGGGTGATGATTATGATGTTGTTGAAACTGATGATGGTAATGATGCTGCAGGTGTTGATGATGATAATGATAATAATGATGACAACTATGATGATGGGACTGAGGTATTTATTTTTGAAGAAATATAACCGTAATCTTTTAAACAACGTGACTATAATTCTCAATCCACCCATCTCCACACCCAGCCCACTCCACCCATCTTCAAGCCCACCCCACCCCACGCAGGTTACACTGGAAAGTTTTGCACCGAAGTTGTCGACAACTGTCCCAGCATCAACTGCAACCATGGCAGATGCGTCAACGAAGAAGGAGGCTACAGGTGCATATGCGATCCAGGGTTCAAAGGTTTGGGTTTTTTTTGATTTTTTTCTATCAGGGTTAAAGGTTTGAATGATTGTGATCGGAGTTGAGAATAGGTTGGTTACAGTAAGTGATTGAATGTTGTTGATAAGAGATATATTCGAGTCCGGCTTTTTTTGAAAATTTAACATCGTTAAATTAAAAACTAAACAAATTTTATGAGCGTTTGTGTGCGTGTATCGCTTTATTGGCATGATTAGATCCTTTGAATCAACCGCCAGCACTTGATCTCCAACCATCAATGAAATTATTAATAATTAAAAATTATGTATGCTATGAACCTGTTGAACTGGAATCATCAGTGCCACTCCACTTAAACGTATTAACTACGCTAACAAACTTATGCACATGCATACAGTTACATACAAACATACATTCAAACTTACAAACAAACATGCAAACAAGCATACAAGCAATCGCACAGAAACACAAACACAGAAAACCAAATACCGATTCATTGTACCATTGGTATTATTTTTAGCCATATATCTTTTCGCATTTTTTAAACTAAATACAAACTTTTAGTGCATACATCTATTCTCCCACGATCCTGACTAGGTAGGTCTGTCTTCAGAGAATAGTTATTATCTTATTTTACCTTTGTCAATCTATCAAAATATCTATCTATCTATTTGATTATCTATGTATCTATGTTACCTATCTGTATATCCATTTTTCCATTCATGTGCCCATCTATCTCTTAATCAATCTTCTATTAGTCTATCTATCTATCTATCTATCTACTTGTCCATCTATATCTTATGTATCTAGGTGTGACTGTATATATTTGTGCTATGCTTTTTCTTCTCTCTCTCTCTTTCTTTCTTTCTTTCTCTCTCTCTCAATAATCTTTTTTCTCTTTCTCATCTACTATTATAATTTATGTATAAATCTCTGCATGCTTTGCACTCGTAAAACTAAAAGTAAACTTCGGCATCGAGGACAAAAAATAATTGAAGAAATAAAATTCATAACCCAACTCAAGGACTGCATTGTGAAGAACATCACTATCAGGACTTCCCTAATTACAACAACAACAACAACAACGATAATAATAATAATAACAACGACAACAACAACAGACACAACAAAAATATCATCATAGCTGACCATCACTGTCTTAAACGTTGTTTGAACGGCGGAAAATGCGTAAAAAAGAAAAACAATAATAATAATTATAATCATAATTATGATCATAATAATAATAAGAAGAATAATAATATTGATGATAATGATAAGTACACTTGTTTTTGCGTCAATGGTTACACGGGTGATGCCTGTCAGATAGGGCCACCCAATCAAAACCTCTGCACCTATCATCATTGTTACAACAACGGAACTTGTTTTATCGCTCAGGATGGAAGGTTGGTTGGCCTGAGAGATGGTCGGTTGATTGGTTGGTTGGTTAGTTGGTTGGTTGGTTGGTTGGTTGGTTGGTTAGTTGGTTGGTTGGTAGGTAGGTTGGTTGGTTGGTAGGTAGGATGGTTGGTAGGTTGATTCGCTGGTTGGTTGGTTGGTTGATTGGTTGGTTGGTTGGTTGGTTGGTTAGTTGGTTGGTAGGTTGGTTGACTGGTTGGTTGGTTGGTAGGTTGGTTGACTGGTTGGTTGGTTGGTAGGTAGGATGGTTGGTAGGTTGATTCGCTGGTTGTTTAGTTGATTGACTGGTTGGTTGGTTGACTGGTTGAATTTTTAGTTGATTGAATGATTGGGTTAGTAAAGAATGAATGCTGTATATGCATTGATGAGTTAATTAACAAACATCACAAAATATCATGCTAATTTTGTTATATTCATGAATAAATTAATAAATTATAGGCCAAGATGTCACTGCCCCACAAATTCAAACGGGTCAAAATGCGAAACCACTGTGACGGTGACGTCATACTACGTCACAATCAGCGAGAAGGTCAAGGAGATTAACAACGATGACGAAGATGATGATGATGGCGATGGGGATGATGAAGAAGAAGAAAAATGGTGCAGTGAGAATGAGTGCCAAAACGGTGGAACGTGTTTGGGAAAAAGCGGACCGCCCTTTAATCACCATCGTCCACAAAATTGGCAGCTACAACAAATGCAACTACCTCCACCATTACATCAACAACATCAACAACAACATCAACAACAACTACATCAACAACAACAACATCAGCAACAACAACTACAACAACCACGATGTTTGTGCCATCCGGGTTATGCTGGGGAGTTCTGCCAGATTGAGGTCTGTATAGATAGTGCGAAGTAGTGTAATGGTTCAGATGTCTGTTCTTGCTGCTGCAGTTACTGAATTCAAATGCAAACAGATTCACATCAATTATATGAACGTGTCTTTCTCTCTCTCTCTCTCTCTCTCTCTCTCTCTCTCTCTCTTTCTGTGTGTGTATGTGTGTGTTTGTGTGATATGTTGATTTACATATATTTATTTATTCACATCTAACAAATTATTTAAAACAGAACTGTAAAAGACGTATTATAAAACATTCTACACAAATGCATTCATTCATAGGGCATATCACCTTCAGCCAATCATGAAACATAATCTTTGACCTTTCGTATTATTGGTTCAAAAGGTCAACGAATGTTCTTTCCACCCGTGTCTGAATGACGCCATCTGTTTCGACTTCATGGATTCCTTCGTGTGCGAGTGCAAGCCAGGCTACAGCGGGCAGAGGTGCCAGACCGATGACGACGACTGTTCCGAAAGGTTTATTATTATTATTATTGTCATTATTATTGTCATTATTATTATTATTATTATTATTATTATTATTGTTATTATTTCCCTTTTTCTTTCATATTATTTGTATTATTTATGTCCTTTTATTATAACCACGGCACTCATTATCGTCGTCAGGTCATGTCTCAATGGAGGAACCTGTGTCGATCAGGTTGGTTCGACAGTTTTGTATTTGTATAATTAAACGAATGAATAAATGAAAGAATGAGAGAATGAATGAGTGGAACATCAACATTACGAAACCGAAATAACATCAACGATGACATCAAAATCAGCATACAACAACAACTTGCACAACAACAGCAACAACAACTACTACACATAACAACAACAACAGCATCAACAACTACTACACATAACAACAACAACAACAACTACTACTACTACACATAACAACAACTAACTACGACAACAACAATACCATTAGCAACAACAACAACTACTACCACAATATTCAGGTTAACTCATACACGTGCAAATGTCCAGTTGGTTACCATGGTGATCGCTGCCAGTGGGAAATGACACCCTGTTCTTCGGCACCCTGTCTGAACGATGGCACCTGTGTCCCCAGTGAAAACGTCTTCGAACGCTTCGTGTCGGTAGATTGCTGTAGATTTGTAGTCGCTGATTTTGTTGCTATATGAAATAAAACATCATGAAGAGAAAACAAAATTAAATAAAATTAAATGAATAGATAAAATAAAAGTATAAATTTCATTAACAGATGTCAGTGTTCAGATGGATTCACTGGACCACGCTGTGAAACATTGAAGGATATGTGTGCTGTTAACAACGGCGGCTGTCACCAGCAATCTACTTGCAAACAGGTTCGCTGGATGTTTGGTTGTTGGTTCGCTGGATGATTGGTTGTTGGTTCGCTGGATGATTGGTTGTTGGTTCGTAGGATGTTTGGTTGTTGGTTCGTAGGATGATTAATTGTTGGTTCGTAGGATGATTATCCCGTTAATTTATTGGTTGGTTAGTTGGTTGAATAGTTGGTCAAACAGCTCTCTGAATAACTGATAATTAGTTTTTTCTTTAATTTTTCAACTATACATTTAACCGCGATCTACATTTTTTTTACTGTAAAATCATTTAAATTGAGTTTTAATTAAAAAATTATCAGAAAACTTTAAAACTGAAAAACATTCGAACGAACAAACTAAACAGGAAAGCAACCAAATAATATGCGTGTGCAGTGCTGGTTGGACTGGCCTCAAATGTGACATGCCTGCTGGCTCCTGCCAAGAAGCTGCTATTAAAAAAAGTTTGCTCATTTGCCAAATTAAAAAAGTTCTTTGATAAATATTTTTATGACGTGGTTATAAGAAAAGTTGGTGAAAAGTTGTATTTATTTATTTGTTTGTTTGTTTGTTCATTTATTTAATCGTTCGTTCGCTCGTTCGTTCGTTCACCATCAATTAATTGTTCATATGTTTGTATGTTCATTTAATTGTTCATTATTTTGATCATTCACTTTAATTTTTATCGCGTCTTATTATTTCATTTAAATTATTCCCAATTAATCGATGAAATTTTTATATTTTTAAAAACGTCAGACGTGCCAGCAATCGCCCTGTGCCAAAACGGTGGCCAGTGTCGCCACAGCCACAGAGGACACAGTTGCAAATGTATGCCCGGGTACGAAGGCAGCTACTGCGAGTTTCAGGTACATCCCTGTTCGCCTAACCCATGCAAGAATAATGGGGTCTGTCTCGATAGGAACTTCTTCAACAAAAATTTGAAAACTTCTAAATTTGCTGGTGGCAACTTAGAAAATAAAAATAGTAGTAGTAGCACTAGTGGCAGTAAAGGTAGTAGCAGTAGCAGCAGCAGTAATTATGGTCACATCGATAGAGATAATATTGATTTCGATATTGACGGTTTCACTTGCAAATGCCCAGTCGAATACGAAGGAAAGTTGTGTGAGAAACCGGTTGACCATTGCAGGGATGGACCTTGCTTGAATGGAGGATCGTGCTACAGTGGCAGTGCCGGGTTTCTCTGCAGTTGTCCAGTTGGCACTCATGGAGATAGGTTGGTTGGGGTTTTGGTCGGTCGGTCGGTCGGTTGGTCGGCTGGTGATGATATGTCTGAATCATGTTTTAATTTAATAGTTACTGCTTTTCAGAAGACAATTCAACGGCAGACATAATATTTTTAATTTTACAGATGTGAAATAACAATAAACGCATGCGAAATATCTACCACCGCCACCACCCTAACTACAAACAACCACACCACTACTACCCCCAACAAATGCCACAACGGGGGTACCTGCATCCCTAACTACAAAGGCGCTCCTGGCTACAGATGTCTGTGCCCTCCTGGCTTTACTGGCCGAAACTGTCAAGGTAAACTGTCAGGGTGTCGTCTGAAACCTTGTAAAAATGGCGGGAAGTGCTGGAAAGTTCGATCGAATGATGTTGCGAGTCACGGGAATAATAATGATGGTAGTGGTGGAAATAATGCTGGTAGTAGCGAATTATTGAATGGCGATGAAAAAGATGGGGTTGGATCGCACAGTGAAGGAAGCTTGTACATGTGCAAATGCGTCTACGTAAGTATTTGCAATAATTTTTTTTTCGCGTTTCAAATTTTTGAAATTTTTTGTTGCAATCTCCTAATTTGTTTTTAGGGAAGTCTAGAATGTTTTAAAATTTGTAATAAGCCGGATTAATTTAATTTAATTGAACGAATACTAATTAATTAATTAATTAAGTATATATGTATATAGTGAATTGAACTATGGATCCTGACATTTTAACATTTATTATATCCAGGGTTATTTTGGAGCTCAGTGTGAAGACAACTATTACATCATCGCCAATCATCATCAGCACCATCACCAGCACCACCAACATCATAATCATCATTCATTAACATCATCATCACCACCACCGTCATCGTTACCATCACCTGGAAATCTTTATTGCATATTTAATGGTTGTCATTGGAAAGCTGGAGATGGAGTATGTGACGTGAGTGAAATTATTTTTATATTTAGTGTACTGCATTAAAATATTACAATTCATTATCATAATGTATTCGTCCGAGATAATTTATTCATTTATGATAATTTGTTCATTTAAGAGAAAGTATTCATACATACATACATACTCTGACAGAACAGCGCAGACACTTCATGTTCAGAACTTGTTAATTTTAGCACTATAATTATTATCGTTATCTCATCGTTACTTCACCATCACTATCATCATCTACATCATCACTATCATCACCAACATCACTATCATCATCAACAACATCATCACTATCATCACCAACATCACTATCATCATCAACAACATCATCACTATCATCACCAACATCACTATCATCATCAACATCATCTACATCATCAACATCGTCATCGTAATCATCACCATCATCGTCGTCATCATCATTACCAGGAGGAATGCAACAATAAAAATTGCCTGAATGACGGAGGGGACTGCGAGTCGACCGATCCCTTCCAGAGCTGCAACGTCTCCACGTGCAGCCAGACCTTCAACGACAGCGTCTGCAACCAGGAATGTAACAACATCGATTGTCTCTTTGACGGATTCGATTGCTTAGACCGGGTCGGTATTGATGAGATGATGATTATTAATGTTATGATTGTTGCGTTGTGATGTGGCGAGTGTGGCTGTGATTGTTGCGTTTTGATGTGGCGAGTGTGGCTATGATTGTTGCGTTTTGGTGAAGCAAGTGTGGCTATGATTGTTGCGTTTTGATGAGGCGAGTGTGGCTAGGATCGTTGCGTTTTGATGTGGTGAGTGTGACCATTTCAAAATGATGAAAATCTTGAAAGGGTTGGTTTTATAGATTATGAAAGCATTGTTCTTGATGAAATGATAGTGACGATGTTACTTACTATAGTAACAACAACAACAACAACATCAACAACAACTATGACGTCAGCAAAAGTAATGACTTAAGCAAAAACAACCCCAAAACAGGATCGACGACAGACATGCTTCCACGAAGACTACTGCTCCTACCACTATGCCGACGGAAACTGCGACAGCGGCTGCAACAACTCCCGCTGTGGCTGGGACGGTCTTGACTGCATCAACCACAAACATCAATCTGGTGATGATACCAGTGGTGGTGATTATATTACTGACGGCAGTGGTGATAGTAATGATCAAGATGGTGCTGAACGCGTGGTAAAGGAAATTATATTTCTGGTGTTACTTCCGCCAGATAGATTTATTTCTTTGGTTAGAAATTTTACCCGGAAGTTCAGTCTTCTGTTAAAGACTACTCTGGTGGTTTCAAAACATGAAAATGGGAGTTACATGGTGGAAAATTGGGATGGGGAGGAATACGATGGTGATGGGGATGAAGCTGATGATGCTGACGGGACAGGTTTTGATGTAGACGAAAGTACAGGCGGCGATGTTGACATTAAAATAATTCGAAAGAAAGTCAGAAAACGAGACGTTGACGGAAGGCTTGATGGTGACGATGACGACGATGACGAAGATGATGACGAAAACGAAGATGGCGATAAAGCCATTGGGTGAGATAATATTTTTTTCAAATCTTCAAAATAGTAAAGATCTCGCTATATTTGTGTATTACACCAATATAAACAACAAAAAATGCATACTTAACTACTAGCAATAACTTATTGAATAACATTTCCAAAGTAAACGGCTTTAAAATATAATTTCATTGATTATTTACTCGAATTAACCTGGAAAAATTATTATTATATTCGCCAGGTGTATAGTGCACACTGAACTAAAACACAGCAGTTTGGGGGAATCAGATGATTTGGGAATGAGTGAAGAGCAGGCGGTGAAGTTCATTGATATGGCCCTGAAAAATGGGTGGAAACCATCTGTGCCAATTCATTCGGTCAAAGGTGAGATGATGGTGACGATGGTGCTGATTCAATTATGGTGAAGGTTATGACGGTGCTGATTCGATGATCATCCATTATTTTCTTCGCTATCTTAATCGTTAAATTAACTAAAATTGTTTCTAAATCATTCATCATGATCTGCCGCTATCACAGAATCTCACTCATCATCAACAACATCATCAACAACATCATCAACAACATCATCAACAACATCATCAACAACATCATCAACAACATCGTCACCAGCATCACCATCATCAACATCATCGTCACTAGCATCATCGTCACCAACATCATCAACATCATCACCTACAGCAAGAACGAGGCGATCCCCACCCTCACCTCTTCCTCACGGGCCAACCCAGCAGCGCCTACATCCCGCCGTCCTTCCAATCACTCTCACTCTAGTAGTCATCGTCGGTTTGGTGGCGGCTGTAGTAGCCGGAGTAGCTGCAAAGAGAAAAAGTAACGAGAAGAGAACCGTCAAAATTCCGGGCAAGACATGGTACCCTCCTAAAGATTGCATGGATGCTAATATTAGGTCGGGGGTGTTTATTACATTTATTATAACTATAATAATAATTATAATATTAGGTTGGGAGTGTTTATTACATTTATTATAACTATAATAATAATTATAGCTACATTAGCTACTCTTACTTGAAATAGTGATCATGATATGATTAGCATTATTATAAATTATAAATACTCATTTTATATATACATCAATACACACACACACACACACGCAGACAGACATACACGCATACACACACACACTCACACAGACATTATCACCATCTGAATGGGTTATTAGTGCCAGCTAACAACGATGATGATGACGACGATATTTATAATTGCAATCCCAAAAGGGCAAAGGTTAGTTGATGCTGTTTTAATCATGTTGCTGCGGTCACATTGAGTTTTGTTTTTAATTATTATTACGAATTAGGATACAATAATGAGTATTACATATTAGGGTTTTAATAGTTGTTGACCATCTATCTAACTATCTTCTTCTGAAGAAAACCCTTAAAATGAATTGAAGTTGTAATGGTAACGTAGCGGTAGTAGTAGCAGTAGCAGCAGAAGTAGCAGTAGTAGTAGTAGTAGTAGTGTAGTAGTAGTAGTAGTAGTAGTACTAGTAGTAGTAGTAGTTAGTAGTAGCAGTAGTAGTTAGTAGTAGCAACATCAACAGCAGCAGCATTAGTAGTAATGGTAGTAATGATAGTAATAATAATTGTGGGTGATAATACATTAAATCGATGAGGTTTGTGTGTGTGTTTTTAATACAAGTGCACAAGATTTTTAAACTGCTTAGTATTTTTTAGAGGTTTTTATTACAGGAACTAAATTTCATTATAAAATTTTTTTAAAATAGCTGCAATTTTTGGAGCCAGCCTCATTGGGCAAACCGACTTATGTCAATTTGTCATCATCGTCGTCATCTTCAACATCGTCTTCGTCATCGTCAGCAACATCTACAACATTATTAATAGACAACAACAACAACAATAATAACCATAACAATAACAATAGTAATAATAATAATAACAAAAATAACAATAAGAACAATAAAAACGTGGAAGAGGAAAATAATTGCAGGGCGAATTTGCTCATAACGGCTATAAAAAGTGGCCGATGTGACGTTGACGACATTGAAAATCTCCTCAACAGCGGTGCTAATGTGAACGCCAAAGATCCTGAAAGTGGTTAGCGCTTTTCAGTTATTTATATTGCCGTCATCATCATCTTCATCATCCTCATCATCATTCTCATCATCATCATCATTTGTTTCCAATATAAATGATGCACCCACTAAAACGCGCAGGTTACACGGCCCTTCACCTGGCCTGCATAAAGAACCAGCCGAAAAACGTCCGAGCCCTGCTCTCGTGTGCCAACATCAACATCAGCGAGGAGGAACGAACTGGCAGAACGCCACTGCACGAAGCGGCCTCTAACGACGCCCAAGAAAGTTTGAAGGTATGATGGTCCTAATTAGTTTGCGGAGTTTTTGCTGGTTTTTCTTCGTAATTTTTTCATTATTTTTTTAATTTTATATGGATTTGAGATTCTTGTAATTACGGTTTGCTTTATTTCAAATATGTATGCTATTTTTTTGGTTAAAAATTGTTTGTAACTAAAAAACCCGAAAAATTTTAATTAGTCTTATCTGCATAATTATATACGAATATATCTTTCGTTATCTTCTTCTTCTTCATAATTGTTTTCCCAAGCAATCACAAATATCACCTCAACGAAGGTCTTACTAGAGAACAAAAAGTTGAAACTGAACGCCAGAGACGAGAATGGCTTCACGGCTCTGATGCAGGGCTGCAAGTTGAACAGCTACGACATCGTCCTCATGCTACTGAAAACACCTGGACTCGACGTCGACGCTAAAGATAATACAGGTAAAAATTATGACGTCAATAGAAACCTGTCACACTGTTAGGAACATCACTATAAACATACAAACACGCGAACATCGTTGTAAACATCTCATTCAACATCCTATGATCCACCCAGGCAAGACCGCCCTCCACTGGTGTGCCTCAGTGAACAACGTGACGTCTGCCCATGAACTGTTGAAGAGGAATGCTAAGAGGGATGTCCCCGATGAAAAACTGCAAACGCCCATCTACCTTGCCGCTGCCGAAGGAAATTTGTGAGTCCTTTCTGCGTTCTGCTCTGTTCATCTATCGTTACAAAGATTTCTATTTTTATTCATATTTCAGACATTAGTATTGGCACTCTAAGTGAGATTTTTATAACCAAAAAATTAGGAATTGTTATAAATTTATTAACTGTACATTATTAACTCACAATTTTGTTCTCCCACAGTGAAATGGTGCAGTTCTTAAAAGACAACTTCGCCAACATCAACCTGAAATCCGACCAAGACAAGACACCACTGGAGATAGCGCAAGACCGAAACTTCGTTGAAATAGTGGAGTGCCTGGCTAAGAAGGATGCCAGGTCTCTCCAGAGCATCGTCAACGACGAATCACACGCAACCACACCACTGCCAACCTACATGAAACAAAAAGTCAAGGAGAACAAGAAAAAACTAGAAAACTCCACGGAAAATGACAAAAATGAAATTTCGAAAGTAACTAATTGTAAAAAGCCGGCTGTCAGTTCTGCTGCTACTGCCGCTTCTTCTGAGTCTGTCGCAACTGGGAATGGAACTGCAACAGTTAACGGGAAGAAAGAAAATGATAAGGATGGATGGAGCGACAGAGTAGAAAATGCAAAAAACAAATCTGCTTCAACTGAGATGAACAAGAAAAATAATTCGCTCGCTAGAGAAGGCAAACATCGAACGAGTAATTCACATTTGAATAAAAATAAAACAAAACCACTGCCTAACGAAGTAAAACAAAACTCTGCAACCGCGCAACAAAAACGCCCAGCATCGTCGCAACAAAGTTGTGCAACGACGCAACATGATTTCTCAACAATGCAACAAAAAGTTTCAACATTAAAATCTCCAACATTCAGGCCATCATCTGGCTATCTTGGAGATGATCTCTGCTTTCAATTCACCGGTGTTCAAAACGAATATTCGACAATATCGAGTAACGGTGCGATACCCGACAGTGCCAAGCTTAACGACTTTTATTTCAACCAGTCGAAAACCATTTCCGCAAAACCCGACGATGGCGTCAACGATTACAACGCTCCCAGTAAGTCAGTTCATGAAGCGGACAAGTCACACACTCATTCCAAAAGCAACAATTACAACAGCAGCAAATGCGACAAATTTAACAACAACCACAACATCAACAATGCCAACAACAATAGCAAAAACATTAACAAGAACGTTAACAAAACACCAATTCCGTACGAGATGAGTCCCCCTGATTCAGCGGGTGTGGATTCAACGGGCTGCATCAGTCCCAACTCCTTGACCACAGGCAGTCCCGCACCTATTACAACTCTCAGCCCCAACAGCTGCTACCACAACTACTCTTCGCAGCAACTGCAACAATATCAAATGTTGCAGCAACAACATCACCAGCAGCATCAACAACAACTCCTTAGAAGAATATCGCCAAATGTGCCTTATTGTCAGTTTCAACAGCCTCAGCAACTCAATCGAAACCACAATTCATCTTACAACATCAACAACAATAGTAGTAACAACAATCAATACCATTACTACCAACAACAACAGCAACAAAAAGCTTTGCCACAACAACAACAACATCAGCTTCATCCAGTCCAAAACATGCGTTCTTCTATCCTATCTTCATCATCCACGCTGTCATCGGCACCATTCGATCATTTATCCGGTTCTGGAGCACTCACGATCAACAACGTCATCTCCATGAACAACAACAACAACAACAACAACGCTAACAACAACAGTGTCACCAACAATATCAGTTACAGTCAGAGTAACAACATTACGAACAATGTTAATTACTTAGGTTCGAAAAAGATTTCATCACAATACAGCGCTATACCAAATAACGTTTGCATGACGCCATCGCCAGATATTTCTCCCGCTGAATTTTAAAATTTTGAATTGTATATTTTCATTGGTTGGGCAAGTAGCCAATTACTTTTAGAAGAATTTTTCATTTTAGTTAACGCTTTGTTTTTAATTTTTTTGTTCTGTTTTTGTTTTCAAAAGAATGCAATTGGAAATATGTTAATATCTGTTTTCTCGTTCAATTATTTTTGTTCATTTGATTCATATTTCTGCCCTTATTTGAATTTTAGAAGTGTATTTCAACAAGAGACTTCTTCAAGTTCCGTACATTCTGCCCGAGAGGGTTTTTAGAAAATGCCGTAAAAAATTCATCTATTTTTTTGGTCAATAACTTTCAGTTTTTTATTCGGATTATCATCTATTTTGTCAATTTATTATCTACGTCCTTATTATTATTATTATTATTATCATCGTCATCAATGACGTCATCGTATTATTATTATTATTATTATTATTATTACTATCTTCATCATCATCTTCATTCATCGCCAATTCATTATTCATTTTTACCAAAGGCATTCAAGCTGCGTCATTGCGTCTTTATCAGCACCGTGTCATAACCACCATCTGTACCATCATTCTAAAAACATTTTCAACCATTTGCTTATATATATATATATATATATATATATATATATATATATATATATATATACGTAGACAAAATCTATTACCTTATCATGCCAGAAAAAAAAACTTTAGCTTGAAATGATGTTTACATCTTCGTGAAAACATTCGATAAGTTAACGTGAACAAAAAAAATCATCTTTCCAAACAATCCTTATCTGTCACTGCCTGCCCTAACATGTGTTCATTATACAAACGATTTTATTTTCTTTCGTTATTTTTCTTTCTGTTAAACGAACAATCTGTTTTTTGAATGTTTGTTTCATAATCTTTTTGTATCAACATTTTAAAAGCATTTCTTTACAAATGTAAAAGTTACTATTGTATAAAACTTGCAAATTCAAACTGAAGATTGAATATTATATAATTTTTTTGTCACAATCAAAAATAATTTGTTTGCTTCTGTAAGGCCCATATCTTATCTACTGATCGTTCTTATGAATCATGAAGTTTATTCTAGTTTCTTATTGTTGTTTTTATTATATTTTTTATTATTCTTCTTTTCAATATTTCTGACATTCGTAACTTTTCTTTTTATAAACATGATGTAAAAGCAGCAAGTATGGCACGCCTATCAAAGCATTTTTTTTTCTCTATTTGATGAATAGTAAAAAATATATCTTGAAAGAATCGCTTGAATATATATAAACACACACACACAACACACACACACACACACACACACATGTATAGAGTATATGTATATTATGTGTGTTATATGTAAACCTGTGTATATAACTTTATGCCTTACATATACTTTTTATTTTGTTTTTTATATGTTTAAATTTTATCAAAATTAAAAGATTAGTTAATTAATTAGTTAATTAATTCAATTAATTAAACCAGTTAATTGATTAGTTAATTAATTCAATTAATTAAACAAATTAATTCAATTAATTAAACAAATTAATCAATCAATTAAATTGCTAGCCAAGCTTATGAGTTAGCGATTTTTATATAATTAGTTATACCAATCAAATATAATTATTGTTAACGCAGCGTTTTGGCATTTGAATTGAAGTATATTTGAATTCATTGTAAATAAAAAGTATTTTTATTTCTATTTTGACGAAAAATTAACGAAAAACAAAATTGTAAAATGTTTTTCCGTCATTTTATTCACACATTTGTACGGAAGTTCATCAGCAAAGTTTAAATAATTAAAAATCTTTTATTGATACATCCAATAGAATCCTAACACGTAGATAGATAGCTTCACACACGAAAAGACACACACACGCACACACACTCATACACACACACATATACATATATATAAATCTTGGTTTGAAACACTTAAAATAGTGTTTATACGTGTAAAACATAAATAAAAAGATACATACATGAGTACAACTGCATGGAATTTCGAAACATGAATAAAATCCTTCGCTAAACATTTAAAAGGTTAATAAAATGCAAATGGTTTTTGTTTAATTTTAATAATAAGGATAATAATAATAATAACCAAGAGTAACAATAATAATAAGAATAACCAATAGTAATAATAATAATAATAATGAAAGTCTTATGAAAGTCACATGCACACGTTGTTCGTTTATATGAGTTATCGATTCTGTTGAGATGATTGATTGAATGAATGAATGAAGGAATGAATGAACTACTGAAACGAACGAACGTATATGTGAATGAATGAATGAATGAATGAATGAATGAATGAATGAATGAATGAACGATGAAACAAACAAGCAAACATACAAAGAAACAATCATAAACATAGGAAAAAATATACTAAAAAAATATTTATAGTAAATCCCCAGCATGGTTAGTAGTGCAAGAAGCAATAGTTTATTGTAGAAATGATTGTTTTAAATGTGTGAAAGGATTTATTACTTTCTTACACAGTGGTGTCTTAATGTGTTTATATACATACATACACACATACAAACACACACATTCACACACACAAATACACATAGCTATAAATGTTATTTAAAAAAAGGATGGGCTTTCTTATTCTTAGCACATGGTTTTTAAGAAAAAACTTTGGCATGAAAGTTTCTGTAATTGGATCGACAGAGCAGTTGAATAATCGATCGATTGAATGATGATAGAATGATCGAAAGGCTGACTGATTGAATGAATGAATGGTATATGAATTTATTTTTTATAGTTTTTAAACATTGATGGTTTACTTGATATAAAAGCTTTGAAAAAAAGTGAAGAAAAAAGATTTATCCTGCTGGCGTTAGTAGATTTTGTTTATGCCTAATGCATATGGTTTTAATCAGGTTGATGTACGATGTGCGACTGTTAAAAGTTTTAGCTTTTTAAATTTTTCCATTATTATTTTTTATGTTCATTATTATTGTTATTCTTTTAGAAATAAATTATTCCAGATCTATTTCTATGATAAATTCTTTTTGATAACTCGACGAATTGATAAAAATTCCACAACGTACATACCTCACAGAAAACGCGTCTCGCATATAGATCCGTCTTGTTTTCTTATTACATTTTTTATGTTACACCTGTGTTACTAATCTAGTAACATCATCATTGTTATCAGTTGTAGCAACAGCATCATCATCTTCATCATCATCATCTCCGTCATCATCGTCGTCGTCGTCATCATCCCCTTCATCGCCAGCATCGTTGCTAGTTGTTGATTTTCTGTACTTGTCATCAGTTTGATTTTTTATAGAGCATTTGCTGTTCGGGGTGTTAGGATTTTGTTTTTGTTCTTTATGATAGTGTTGTTGATTGTTTGGTGGTCGGATCTGCTGCTGCTGCTGCGTTTGTTGCTGTTGCAGATATTGTTGCTGAAGCTGTTGTGAGCTTCGTGGAAGTTTTTGTTGATATTGTTGTGAAGGTTGTTGGTTTTGTTGTTGACGTACTTGTTGCAGTTTTTGTGGCTGTTGCAGTTGTAGTGGTTGTAGCTGTTGCGGTTGTTGTGGTTGTTGTTGTATGATCTGATGAGTATATTTTCCAGAAAGCTGCCGTTGATTCAACGTCGAGTTGGTGGACTCGACATCTGATTGTTGTGAACTTTGTATCATGTGACGATGTTGTTGTTGCTGCTGAAATAAAAACTGTTGCTGCTGCTGTTGTTGTTGTTGTTGATGTCTTTGTTTGGTAGGTGGTGGCTGAAGTGAATATCGATGTTTCGATAGACGTGGCGGTAATTGGCTCTCTATCGTTCGTTGTATCGTCTGCAACGGTTTCTTACATGATTCTCTTCTTACAATTTTTTTTTTCAAATAAATTTGCTCAGTGTCGGATACAGATACCATTCTAACGGGTGAGTACGTTACGGCAACTGAAGCATCCACATCGGCTACAGACGAACGTCTCGAATCTAAAACTTCGTTTTTGATCTTTGGTAATAACCGTTTGATTAATTTTTTCTTTTTTTCGATATTTTCGGTCAGGAATAGTTGGGATTTGTCAACGTAGACGACGGGACTGGTCAGAATTTCAAGGGATAGTGAGGACCTGAGCGACTTCAACCTGCTCCACACGTCGTCCCATCGCACTGAAAAGTCAGCTGGAAAAATTTTGAAATTAAAAAATGAAAGGAAACTGATTTGATTGATGACGTTTAATTCAAATCTGGCAGGTTTCATCATAATTTAAAGTTGAGTTGTGATTCGCGTAAAGTTATGAAAGTTATTTTGAAATGAACATGAGTCCTACCTGTGTAGCACTTGCATCTGTTGAGATTGGCAAGATATGGATCGAGCATCTTGTAAACATTGGCCAGTGTCTCGTCCTCATTGCTCGAATCCGCTTTGAACAAACTTTCACAGTCCCTCTTCAGCGTATCCATCGTCGTATCCAACGTTATCACTCCGGAATTTCTGTCCAACTTTTCAAGCAAGCCAGCCGCTTGAAACAGATTGTTAGTGTAAATGTTAATTAATTTGAATTTTTAAAAACTTTTTAATTAAACTAAAATAATATCATTTGACAAATAGAATTTATTTAAAATCATTAACTTATTTTGAAAAACGAAATAAATACGCAAGTTTTTGTTTGTCGGAAGAACAAGGAATTAATAAAAATGGGACCTCTGTCGAGAGCCTCACATGTCATGATGCGGCAGATGCAGTTCGCGACAGCCAGCAGACTGCACTCGTCGTTGTTCTCATTTTTGATCGGAATGTCCTGGAAGTTTATAACCTTTTGTAATTTGGCGTTGTTCGTCGTCGAGTCCCTGTACGTGATGCTGATGGATAGGACATCTTTCCCTTTCAGCAACTTTTTGTGCTTCTTGGGCAGCAGGAGTGGAAGAAGTATGTGTCGCTCCATGTCAACGGCCAGATCGTGCACCAGGTACTCTCGGTGTAGGTGAGGCGAGAAAAATGGGAATGGGTCGAAAAGTGGCGAAGCGGATTTGTCCGTTGAATCGGGACTTAACGGATTTGATCGAGTCGATTCCAGTTTGTGTTTTGGTGGCGTTTTACTTTTTAACCGTTTGACTAATCGGTATTCATCCCAGGCGGTCGAAGAAAATACCGTCTCAAAAGTAGAACCGGGTGAATTGGAGGAATCGGTTTTAGAAACCGGAGTTTTTATAACATCTTCAGTGTTAAGAGTTTCAAATTGAACGCCATTCAATGCTGTGATGGTCACCTTAACGTTGGCGATGGCTGTTTCCATCATATAAAGAATCGGCAGCATGAGATCCGAACTCAAATCCGACTCCTCTCCCAAGTGATGGAACGGACTACTGCTGAACGATCGGCTCAAGTTGTACAAGGATTCAGGGAAGAAGCCACTTGTTCCTATATAGAAACATTTTTTATATAATCAGTACTTTCAATTTTTTCTTGAATAATTTTTTTTGACTGAATTTTTTGTCAATTTTTCTATCTACAAGTTATCACAAATTTATTGATACGTTTGAATCGTAAACAAAAACACACATTAATATAAAATGAGCAGACACTCACACAACAAAATCACACACACACAAAACTACCAGCGGTGGAAATCTTGATGGTATAATCGGGATCGTAGTGGCATTCCTGTTGTACCCTCCTAATCCTCTTCCTGATCTCCCTTTTCAAGTCCTCTCTATCCAGGATACCCTCGTTTGGCATCCCGTCAGAAAATAAGAGGATGTTGTCGTTTGTGTATTTTGTTCTTTCAAAGTTTTGAATTTTTTTTTCAAGTTTAAACATACTTTAGATGAAAATAATTTTATTTAATTATTAAAAAAGATTAATTTAGAAGAAAAATTTTGAATTTTTAAACAAGGCAAACTTTTTTGCGAATGTTTTACTGAATTGCTCAATCGCGGTGAACAGTCCGGCCGATATGTTGGTCACACCTCGGAGGGCGATACCATTGAAAGCTGCTATCATTTTTTGCTGTTATGTTCGGTATTATCTTATATTAATAAAATAATAAATAAATTTATATATATATAATTTTTATTATATTTAGCAATATCAATGCCAGTGAAATGTGGTCATTCTTGTGGTCATCGTCATTGAGATCATCAAAGCATAAAAAAATTTGAAAGTAAAGTGATGTTGCAAACTTTTGCCATCATAGTCGAATAAAGCAAAAACGAATGTCAAAGTGTCATCATCGTCTTCATTATCGTCCTCGTCGTCGTCATCTTCACTATTATCATCCGTGTTTATTTTACCATCTATTTGTACGCAGTCCACTTCATCAGTTATATTGTTTTAGTATCATCTATCATGTACACGCTCGACACTCATCGTCATCGTCATCGCTATTAAGTTCTCATTCGTTTGCATCGTAATATTAACTCCTCCATCTGATCATTCTAATAATCGGCTTCTTGAATATTATATAATCGTTGTAAATAAATATCACTCATCTTAACCGTCATTGTATACGAATACCTTGGCGTATTCATCCTGGCCAAGTTGTAATTTTAATCATCACCATCATCATTATAACATCATCGTAATATATTATTGCACCATCAACAACAACAGTGACAACAACAGCAACAACAACAACAACAGCAACAACTCAACATCCTCACCAACGCAATTACGTATTCGCTGACGTCACTTATTATTATATAGCGATTATACCCCGAACGACAAACGTCAACAAAGCACTGTCAATCAAATTATATACTACATTCTCATTTTCACGATGACGTCAGATCACGTGATATTGTATTTTTTTATGACGTCATATCCGGGAGAATACTCCTGAGTAATTAATATGACGGATGACAAGCAGCCGATGATGACCGGATGATGATGGTGTTGTTTTTGTTGCTGTTGTTGATGATGAAGATAAAAATAAAGATGATGGTGGTAATGATGATATAAACGATGATGATGATGATTATTATAACAACTAAAATTGTGATACTGATGATGATGACGATGATGACGAAACATGTTCACATTGGCCTGGAGTAGATTTGTCTAGAATCAATATATCAACATCATTTTCACGGTCGTAAACATACTGCTGCCTCGTTATTATTATCACCATCATCACTTTCATTCTATTACATTTTAGTCATTATTATGACGTCACAAGCAGCGTCATCGTCGTCGTCAGCATGATGATTAATAAGACCATCATCATCTTCGTTATTATCCTTACTATCGTTATATTTTACTCATTATTTTCAGTCATCATCTCTCCATTCTCATCATCACTCACTCACTCACTCATTCACTCACTCACTCACTCATTCATTCACACACTCACTCATTCACTCATTCACTCACTCACTCATTCACTCACTCACTTTAGCATCAGCAGTCATCTTGCACATGGGAAGCAAGACTTCTGCATTCGTGCCGAAAACGACAACTCCTACCTGGTTCTCCTCGCCAATTACCTCGGCCAGCAATTTCCCGAATATCTTAGAAATTAATTAATAAATTAAATATTTAATAAGCCAATTTTTAATTAATTCAACTATCTCAAACTTACGAATTTAAACAAAATTTTAGAATACCTCAAAACAAATCATTGAGCATGAACAAACTTTAAAATTCCTACCTTTATCCGATCAAGTTTTGAAAAACCAGCAGCGGAAGCAGCTGTAGCAGCTGGACCCCCTGATAAATTACTACTACTGCCGCTAATACTATCCCCAGGCACATCTCTATCTCCGTAACATTCCGCCATGCTGTGACTGACGTCGATTAGGCAGATGAGTCTGAGTGGAAATGACGGCAAATGCTCGCGTTGACAGAAGGCATTCCTGGCCGGAATCTGGAACGGTTTCAGCTCCAAGAGAACGTACGTCTGTTAAGATGGAGACGACGACGAGGATGATGATGATGATGATTTTGGCAATGATGATAATGATGATGATATTTTTTATAATAAAATCTTCAAATATTAATCCCGGACCTTATCGTTCATCTTGGCGCAGTGGTGACGAAGATCCAGAGAGTCATTCTTCAGGATTTCAATCGCTTCTTCATCTTTATTATGATTGTGATTATGGTATGAGTAAGATGATGATGAAGAAGAAGAAGAAGATGATGATGATGAGTAAAATGACGATGATGACGAAGATGATGATGATGATGATGATGATGGTGATGATGATGATGATGATGATGATGATGATGATGATGATGATGGTGATGATGATGATGATGATGATGATGATGATGATGATGATGGGTCAGATGATAATGAGAAGGAAGAAGAAGTTCATGATAGTGATGATAATAATAACAACAACGATAATAGTGACTAAATGAGAAGTTTTTCTGACGGTAAGTTAGTTACAAGAGCGACGTTATTAATTGCTCAGACGACGACGATGATGAAAAAAGACTAAGTCAACAACAAGGACCGCAACAAACAGCTGTAATAAAAATGTTCAAAGCTAGGCAAATTGAAAAGAAAGAACACATAAAGCGCTACAAGAATGCATGCATCCATTTATATTCTCTTTTGTATTCTTATTTATATTCATTTAACAACGCAAACATTTGCCTGGTTTTTATTTCCAATATCATCATTGTTAAAGTCACATTTGTGATCATCATCGTCATCATCTTCTTCTTCATCGTAATTGTTATCATCTTCATCGTAGTCATCATCATTATCACCCTCCCTATCATCATCACTATCCTCACCATCACTATCGTCATCATCATCATAACTATCAACATCACTATCATCATCATCATCCCCAATACATCGTTTAATATTGTAAAGTCAACAATAGATTCTACTATGTCCGACGATAAGGCATTGCAATGCTCAGTGGTGGTGGTGGTGATGATGACGACAACGATGATGATGTTTGCAGTGTTTGATGATGATGATGATGATGATGATATTGGCAGTGATAGTAATGATAATAGTTATGATAACGGCGATGATGATGATTGCAATGTTTTACGATGATGATGATAATGATGGTAGTGATGATGACGATGATGATGACGAAGAAATCAATGATTAAAGATAAAAATGAAACAAGCTACAAGACGATTACATCATAATGACGATGACGACGATGATGACAACAAAAATGACGATGATGATGACGATATGATGATGATGATGATGATGATGATGATGATGATGATGATGATGATGATGACGATATGATGATGACGA